ACCCTTCTCTGGGGTCTGAGCCTTTAGCCATGGCTTGTGCCCGTCTCTGAAGTTCCTTTAAGCAGCACTCTTAAACCCCTCTCCTCGCGCACCAGGAAACAAAGAGGGAAGAAAAAGTCTCTTGCCTCTTCGGCAGCTCCAGACCTTTTCCTCCCGGACTCCCTCCCGGCTAGCCGTGGTGCGGTAACCCCTTCAGGCTGTGTTCACGCTGCCAACCCCAGTCCTCTCCCTGCGCTCTGATCAAAGCCCGAGCCTCAGCTCGCAGCACCGCCTGCCCTGGCGGGTGAGCAGAGAAGCCTCTCAGGCTGGTGAGTGCCTGTGAGTGCTGGTCGGCACCGATCCTCTGTGCGGGAATCTCCCCGCTTTGCCCTCTGCACCCGTTGCTGTGCTCTCCTCCGCGGCTCCGAAGCTCCCCGCTCCACCACCCGCAGTCTCCGCCTGCGAAGGGGCTTCCTAGTGTGTGGAAACCTTTCCTCCTTCTCAGCTCCCTCCCACTGGTGCAGGTACCGTCCCTATTTTTTTGTCTGTTTTTTTTCTTTCTTCTTTTGCCCTACCCAGGTACGTGGGGAGTTTCTTGCCTTTTGGGAGGTCTGAGGTCTTCTGCCACCATTCAGTAGATGTTCTGTAGGAGTTGCTCCACCTGTAGATGTATTTCTGGTGTATCTGTGGGGAGGAAGGTGATCTCTGCGTCTTACTCTTCTGCCATTTTCCCCTCCGCCCCAGTATTTGTTTTTATATCACTGGTTTATTTCACCTGGGATAATATTCTTAAGGTTCATTCAGGTTGCAGTATGTGTCAGAATTTCCTTCCTTTTTTTTTTTTTTTTTAAGAGAGGTTTTTGGTTTTTTTTTTTAATTAATCTTCAGCTCTGTTGGGTGTTTGTTGCTGCACACGGGCTTTCTCTAGTTGTGGCGAGCCGAGGCTGCTCTTAGTTGCGGGCTTCTTATTGCAGTGGCTTCTTTTTTTGCAGAGCGCGGGCTTCAGTAGTTGTGGCGCATGGGCTTAGAGCGCAGGCTCAGTAGTTGTGATGCACGGGCTTAGTTGCTCCACGGCATGTGGAATCTTCCCGGACCAGGGCTCAAACCCATGTCCCCTGCATTGGCAGGCAGATTCTTAACCACTGTGCCACCAGGGAAGCCCTTCCTTCCTTTTTAAGGCTGAATAATATTCTGTGATATGTATACACACACACACATATACCATGGAATATTATTTTGGTTATCCATTCATCCATTGATGGACATTTGCATTGTTTCCACCTCTTGACTTTTGTGAATAGTGCTGCTATGAACATGGGTGTGCAGGTATCTCTTCAAGACCTTACTTTCAATTCTTTTGCATATATACCCAGAAATGGAATTACTGGATCATATGGTAATTCTATTTTTATCAGTAGTTTTTTGAGGAACCTTCATAATGTTTTTCAAAGCATCTGCACGGTTTTACATTCCTGTCAATGGTGTATAAGAGTTCCAACATCCCCACTCTTTTGTCAGCATTTGTTATTTTTTGTTTTTTTGAGAAGTAGCTATCTCAGTGGGTGTGAGGTGGTATCTTAGTGTGGTTTTGATTTGCTTTTCGTTGATGATTAGTGTCTTTTCATGTGCTTTTTGGCCGTTCGTATGCCTTATTTTGAGAAATGTCTGTTCAAGCCCTTTGCCCATTTTTTGTTTGTTTTTTTGGAGGTACGAGGGCCTCTCAGTGTTGTGGCCTCTCCCGTTGCGGAGCACAGGCTCCAGACGTTCAGGCTCATCGGCCATGGCTCACGGGCCCAGCCGCTCGCGGCATGTGGGATCTTCCCAGACTGGGGCACAAACCCATGTCCCCTGCATCGGTAGGCGGACTCTCAACCACTGTGCCACCAGGGAAGCCCCTTTTGCCCATTTTTGAATTGTGTTGTTTGCTTTTTGTGGTTGAGTTGCAGGAGTTTGTATATTCTGGGTGTTAACCTCTTTTCAGATATATGTTATGCAAATATTTTCTTCCATTCCATAGGTTGCCTTTCCCTCGGTTGTGTCCTTTGTTGCTGAGAAATTTTAAATTTTGATGTAGTCCAGTTTACCTAATTTTACTTTTGTCGTTTGTGCTTTTGGTTCCATATCTAGGAGATCATTGCTAAATCCAGTGTTGGGAAGCTTTTCCCCTGTCTTTTCTTCTAAGAGTTTTACATTGTTAGTTCTTTACATTTCAGTGTTTGTCCCATTTTGAGTTAATTTTTGTATATGGCGTAAAGGTCCACCTTCGTTATTTTGTACGTTATTTTCCCAGCACCATTTGTTGAAAGGATAAATTTTTTCTTGTCTGTGTTCTTCACTCTAATTATGTTGAGATTCATCCAGGTGGTTGTGTGTATTAATAGTTTGTTCCTTTTATTGCTGTGTAGTATACTACAGTATGGATGTACCACAGTTTAATCAACTGTCAAAGGGCATTTTGGTTGTTCCCAGTTTTTGGCTATTATGAATAAAGCTGCTTTAAATATCCACGTATAAATCTTTATATGGACATACATTTTTTGTGGGGGGGTAAATACCTAGAAGTGAAATTGCTGGGTTGTGTGGTAACTCTTACCTTTGCAGGAACTGCCAGACTTTTCCACAGTGGCTGCACCATCTACATTCCTACTAGCAGTGTATGAGGGTTCCAGTTTTCCAACATCCTTATCAACATTTGTTATTTTCTATTTATTATTATTACTGTTATTATTGCCCACCTGTAGTGGGTGTGAAGTGGTCTGTCATTGCAGTTTTAATTTGCATTTCCCTGATAGCTAAAGATACTGAGCATATTTCTATCTGCTTATTTATCATCCAGTTATCTTCTTTGTCTTTTGCCCATTTTTATTTTTAATTAGTTGTTTGTTTTCTTCTAAAGTTTTGAGAGTTCTTTATGTACTCTAGGTCCGAGTTCCTTATCAGGTATGTGATTTACAAAGATTTTTCTCCCAATCTGAGGCTTGTGTTTTAATTGTCTTAGCAGTGTCTTATGAAGAGCTGAAGTCTAACTTGTAAATCTTCTCTTTTGTTGCTTGTGGTTTTGGTGTTATATGTAAGATATTTTAATCTAACTGAGGGTTGTAAAGTTTTTTTCTTATATTTTCATCTAAAGGTTTTATTGTTTTAGATCTTATGCTTAGATCCATTTTGAGTTAATTTTTTTTTTTTTTTTCCTTGCGTTATGCGGGCCTCTCACTGTTGTGGCCTCTCCCATTTGCGGAGCACAGGCTCCGGACGCGCAGGCCCAGCGGCCATGGCTCACGGGCCCAGCCACTCCGCGGCATGTGGGATCCTCCCGAAACGGGGCACGAACCCGCGTCTCCTGCATCGGCAGGCGGACTCTCAAGCACTGCGCCACCAGGGAAGCCCTGAGTTAATGGTGCAAGATGTAGATTAAGGTTCTTTTTTTTTTTTTTTTTGGGTGGTACACAGGCCTCTCACTGTTGTGGCCTCTCCCGTTGCGGAGCACAGGCTCCGGACACGCAGGCTCAGCGGCCATGGCTCACGGGCCCAGTCGCTCCGCGGCATGTGGGATCTTCCCAGACCGGGGCACGAACCCATGTCCCCTGCATTGGCAGGCAGACTCTCAACCACTGCGCCACCAGGGAAGCCCTAAGGTTCATTTTTGTTTTGCAGTATTCTAGTATCATTTATCAAAAAACTAAATGATCTTTTAAATGATCTTTTAAAACAAAAATTTGGTCATATCACTCTCTTGCCCAAAGACTTCCTTTGGGTCCTCATTTCTTTTAGGAAGAAATCCTTAACATGATTCATAAGGCTTTACATGATTTTGGTCTTGTATTATAATACAACTCTCACCTCCTCTCATCTGTCACTGCCCATCTTGTACTCTAAGCTCCAAACATACGGAAGTTCATTCAGTTCCCTTAATTTCTTTCTGCTGTCTTCTGGGATTTTGCAACTGCTATTCCTTCTGCCTAGAATGTTTTGTCTCCACTCCTCTGTCATCTGACCTTCATCTACAAGTTATATTCTCCTGGAAGCTTTCCCCAACTCTGGCCCTCACTCCCACCCTTCATTCAGATTGGATCACCATCCTTTCCTTCTTTGTGTACATACAGCACTTTTTACTTTCCTATCATGGCACTGATCATGCAGTATTGAATTTGTTGGTTTATTTGTCTCTCCCTCACTAATATGAGGTCCTTGAGAAAGTAGTGCTTGACATGTGGTAGGTATTCCATAAATATTTGTTAAATGAGTGAATGATTGTCAGTGAGGTCAGGCAGAGTGAATAAAGAAGCATTGTTGTACTGTTCTTTTGAGGTTGGAGTTAACAATGAGTGTATGTCTAAGAATTTCCAAAATTAAAGATTCTGTTGAATGGCCTTCAAGATTGAATCTCGAGTAGAGAATTGGTCTCTTTCTAGCTAATAATTTGTACTCTTGACTGGTCTGTTTGGACAAGCACATTCCCCTTGTCTTAACTGCCTGATTATTTAATGGGGTCGATGAACACTATTCAGGGTCCCAGGAGAGGACAGGCCTTTTTGACCAAACCAGTGGCAGAGGTAGAATACACTTTAATTTAGTGCTACTGGGATTGGGGCCAGTGCTTTTGTAAAGCATGCTTATCATCTAATTGTGAGAGTCATTCTGAAGAAGGCGTTTGAGCAATTGGACAATCAAATGTGGTCATCAACCTAACTTAACTCTTTGAGCATCGTGAGGGTGGGGGCAACACTGTCTTTGAGAACTCTCAGTCAAACCCAAGGGATATGGGGCTAAAGGTACCACTGTTCAACATATTCCTACTTATACTGACTGAGATCTTGGCCTCTATTTATTATCATGATTTAAGTACCATAGGAAAGAACAGCAGGCTGAGTACTGGGCAGCTTTATGTAACTATTAATCTCTGTGGGCAGTTTAAGGAAGCATCAAATTGTACATTATTGTAATTATCCCCACCTTCTAAGTATGGCTAGACATAGAGCAAATGTTTCCCACCACCCTTTGAATCTTTTTCTATACCTCAGGTTCGCACTGCTCCTTGGAACACCACAAGGGCCTTCATTGCTGCCATGAAGGGCAAGTGTCTTCTGGAGGTGACTGGGGTGGCAGATCCCACAGGGTGTGGTGAAGGATTCTCCTATGTGAAGATTCCAAACAAACCAACACAGCAGAAGGTGAGACAATTTCTAGAGGTTAAAAATCAAGGGAGGAAGAAATAGAGGTTAAGGAATGCAGATGAATGGGTGGGGATCTGGAAAGCCATTAAAATGTTGACAGGATGACTTAAATGCCTACTATAAAGAGTTTTACTAGTATTCTCTTGTTTTGTTTCTGAGGTAGGATGATAAGGAGCCTCAGCCAGTGAAGAAGACAGTGACAGGAACAGATGCAGACCTCCGTCGCCTGTCACTGAAAAATGCCAAGCAACTTCTACGTAAATTTGGTGTGCCTGAGGAAGAGGTGGGTGTGGAAGAGGAAGACTTACAGGCTCCTAGGGGCTTTGTATAGAGAGGGAAAAGCTTGGAGGCAGATGTTCGGAACTAATCTGGAGAATTTTATAGGGTAGGTTGTGGTAAATTGGATCTTAGATACTTTTTCAGGAGTTAGCTTTCCTAGAGCTTTCTGTTTAACCTGCTTTGGGTGATTTCATTGTTGTTGTGTTTTTTGTTTTTTGGTCTGACTCTCTAACCGTGTACCCTGGTTTGTCCTTTGAAATCCCTGAATGATTTTTGTGTGTGTGTGTGTGTGTGTCTCTTGTAGATAAAAAAGTTGTCCCGCTGGGAAGTGATCGATGTAGTACGCACAATGTCAACAGAACAGGCCCGCTCTGGAGAGGGGCCCATGAGTAAATTTGCCCGTGGATCAAGGTTTTCTGTCGCTGAGCATCAAGAGCGTTACAAAGAGGAATGTCAGCGCATCTTTGACCTGCAGAACAAGTGTGTTGTTTTAGTACTGTAGAAAATCCAGGCTGGAAAGGGGAGGGGTCCCAGACATTATTTTATAGTGAAGAGAAGGTCACCTAATAAAGTGACTAGTGGTCAGGTATCTGAGATTTCAGGGTGGTGTCTATTCATAATACTGCTAGAGTACCTACTCCCTTCAAAGCAGCTTGGCAAAGGTTTTGAATGGCAAGAACTGCTAGGTTCCATGGCAACTTTTGTGGCCTACTTGGGCCTGGCAGCCATTACAGTGGTGATGGGCAACAGTAGGCTTAGTGGTTAGAGGATGGTAATGCCCTATTAAAAATGACCAATGTACTGATTTGTTTCTCAGGCTTTTTCCAGGAATTGTGAAAGAGTTGCAGTACTATTTCATATTCTGAACTTGCCTTGTGACTAAATTTCTGGGAAAACTTTGTAGAACTTCTCTGTTCAGCGTCCCATGTCTTAGTGGATTTTGAATATTTCTTTTTTAAGGTTGATTTCTCAATTTCCTACTCTTGCCTAAACTAAAACTGTATTTCTTCAGTTGTTTCTACACGTTTATGTTTTCCTCTTCTTAACATGTTTTTTTTTTTTAGGGTTTTGTCCTCAACTGAAATCTTATCAACTGACACAGATAGCAGCTCAGCTGAAGACAGTGACTTTGAGGAGATGGGAAAGAACATCGAGAACATGTTGCAGAATAAGAAAACCAGCTCTCAGCTGTCACGTGAGCGGGAGGAACAGGAGCGGAAGGAACTGCAGCGGATGCTACTGGGTGAGGGTAGTGACTTCACAGACAGACAAGAAAAAGAAAGATCAAGAAAGTGTAAATAACCACGCTAATAACTGAGGTAGAGCTGGGCTCAGAAGAAGTAGGGGACGAGTGTAGAAAAGCCTATAGAAGAGGTAGAGAGATTCTGCAAACTGGACTCTAGGTTTGTCTGTGGGGCACAAATTGAAGAGATGTTGCCAGTCCACTACGGCCTCTGTCTGTATTAGGCCTGGCCAAGCCAGGGCTATCAGTGCTGTACATCAGTTGAGTTTTCTGGGCATTCATCCTAGAGGGTAAGAGTTTTTAATACAGAATCTGTGGATGAATTGGGGGGTTGTTAATGAACCCTCTGAAATCACATGTACAATTCTGTGCAAATGTGCCTTTTCTGAGATGATCCATGGCTTTCAGAAGATTCTTAAAGGAGTCTTAGACCCTAAAAAGTTTAAAATCACCAACCCAAAATTGCATAAGTTGATGGTGGGGATGAGAAAGGCCTAAACTGGTTTGGGATTTGGTCACTGGGAATGAAAAGAGGAGAAAAATCAAAGGGACCTTAAGATTTCACTCTTGCTTGCTAGAAAGATGGTGGTACCATTGATTAAAGTAGTAAATTTCAGAAAAAGAAGCAGGTTTAAGAAGGAAAGGTGTAATATGTGGTGTTTGAGGTCCCCATGATACTCCCAGTATAGATGTCAAGCAGGCAATTGAAAACTTGGTTGTAGATGCTGAGAGGGAGGATAAAGGCTGAAGATGAAGGTTTAAATGACTATTTTACTCACAGTAGTCTTTCCTTTGTTTCCTCCCTGTAAAAGCTTTGTGTAATTCTGTTGTTCTGGCTACTTTGTGAAGATGTGATAAAGCCTTTCCTCGAGTGTGGTCCTGGACCAGCAGTATCTACATCACATGGGAGCTTGTTAGAAATGCAGCATCTCAGGTCTCACCCCAAACCTACTGAATTAGAATCTATTTTAACAAGATCCTCAGATGATTCCTATTTGTTCATATTTAAAAGTTTGAGAAGCATACGCTAGGCCTTGAGACTCTGGATTTTTTCTGTGGTGCCATCTTTTTTTTTTTTTGCGGTACACCGGTCGCTCACTGTTGTGGGCTCTCCCGTTGCGGAGCACAGGCTCCAGACGCGCAGGCCCAGTGGCCATGGCTCACGGGCCCAGCCGCTCCGCGGCACGTGGGATCTTCCCACACTGGGACACAAACCCGTGTCCCCTGCATCGACAGGTGGACTCTCAACCACTGCACCACCAGGGAAGCCCTGTGGTGCCATCTTTTCCCCCGGGTGCTTTTCTATAATGTGACCATCAGCTGCTTCCTGCTTGGACTTTCTTCTTGCACTGTTGTTCAGAGGAATCAGAATACAGCTACTGCTATTCTGTCCTCTATATTACAAACATGTTTCTTTGAGATCCTTTCAGAACTTTCTGTACTTAGAAAAATGATAACTCTGGCAGTGGTAAAATGAAGTCAGGAAAGGACAACTCAGTGTATTCTTGGGGCTGGTGGTGACTGATGCTTTCTGTAGAAACATAGTTCTGTGGCATGTTGAGCTTCAGGGTCTCCACTCAGCCCCAAGAAAATGGCCATTTGGGTGGTAGGGGGAATTTGTGGAAATCTTTTTCTGCCTTGCAGCAGCAGGCTCAGCAGCATCAGGAAGCAATCACAGAGATGATGACACAGCTTCTGTGACTAGCCTTAACTCTTCTGCCACCGGCCGTTGTCTCAAGATTTATCGCACATTTCGCGATGAAGAGGGGAAAGAATATGTTCGCTGTGAGACCGTCCGAAAGCCAGCTGTCATTGATGCCTATGTGCGTATACGGACCACAAAAGATGAGGAATTCATGTGAGTTTGACTCCCTCCCCACTTTCCAGTGTGATAAGAAGAATGATAATGATGGGGAAGGTAGTGAGGGTGGATGCTTGAGTTTTTTATATTTTTAATTTCTAAATATTTTTTGAATATTCTTTTTTTCACACATACACACTGTATTTTATTTTTACAAGAGATAAACTGAAATCAAGCATTGTAAATGGATGACCACAACAAAAGCAACAATGATTGCAATTACCAAACACGAAACACACTCATAATATGTCGTAGTATAGACATTCAGTCCAGTAATCCTCCACTATAACAGCTCCTTTACTTTGCAGTGAAAATTGATTTGTATATTTTTTGCCTCTGAGTCCTGGTGGGGTTTTTTTTTAATTCAAACAGAAAGTCACAAAAATTATAATCATTCTCATTAGTTCACTCAGTCCCATGTAATTATTTTTTTTTATCTTGATCTTTTTTTCAATATTTATTTATTTGTTTATTTATGGCTGCATTGGGTTTTTGTTGCTGCACGCAGGCTTTCTCTAGTTGCGGCGAGTGGGGCCTACTCTTCGTTGCCATGCACGGGCTTCTCATTGTCGTCGCTTGTTGCGGAGCACAGGCTCTAGGCGCGCGGGCTTCAGTAGTTGTAGCACACGGGCTCAGTAGTTGTGGCTCGCGGGCTCTACAACTCAGGCTCAGTAGTTGTGGCTCACAGGCTTAGTTGCTCCGTGGCATGTGGGATCTTCCAAGGCCAGGGCTTGAACCCGTGTCCCTTGTGTTGGCAGGCAGATTCTTAACCACTGCGCCACCAGGGAGGCCCCATCTTGATCTTTTGTTAGCACTTTTTTTTACATTGGAGTTCTGAAATTGCTTATTCACTTCAGTTCAGCAGTATAGTCAGTTACCAGAAACCTGTACTTGTCAGTCTTTTCCATGAATTCCTTGAAGATGAAAACCTTTTATAGGAACATTTTTGCAAAAGCATCAGAGGACACCCAGAACTGTCTGTAAATGACAAAAGACTTAAAAATGGCCATGGTTAAAGATTTGATGAAAGTTCATAATAACGCAATTGACAAGGAAATTTTGTTATTTCTGAGATACACATTTTAAAATAACTAGAATTATGATATAACATTATACCAGAACATATAAGATTTTTAGAAATTTCATGTAACGTCTGAAACATTTATATTAACGTATGTCCATACAAATAACCCAAAGAAAGTTTAGTATTAGTTGTTTTTTTGTTAGTTTGTCTGTGTCTCAACTTCTGCCCTGCAAACCGGTTCATCTGTACCATTTTTCTAGGTTCCACATACATGTGTTAATATATGATATTTGTTTTTCTCTTTCTGACTTACTTCACTCTGTATGACAGTCTCTAGATCCATCCACATCTCAACAAATGACTCAATTTCGTTCCTTTTTATAGCTGAGTGATATTCCATTGTATATATGTAACACAACTTCTTTATCCATTCGTCTGTCGATGGGCATTTAGGTTGCTTCCATGACCTGGCTATTGTAAATAGTGCTGAAATGAACATTGGGGTGCATGTGTCTTTTTGAATCATGGTTTTCTCTGGGTATGCGCCCAGTAGTGGGATTGCTGGGTCATATGGTAATTCTATTTTTCGTTTTTTAAGGAACCTCCATACTGTTCTCCATAGCGGCTGTATCAATTTACATTCCCACCAACAGTGCAAGAGGGTTCCCTTTTCTCCACACCCTCTCCAGCATTTGTTGTTTGTAGATTTTCTGATGATGCCCATTGTAACTGGTGGGAGGTAATACCTCATTGTAGTTTTGATTTGCACTTCTCTACTAATTAGTGATGTTGAGCAGCTTTTCATGTGCTTCTTGGCCATCTGTATGTCTTTGGAGAAATGTCTATTTAGGTCTTCTGCCCATTTTTGGATTGGGTTGTTTGTTTCTTTAATATTGAGCTGTTTATATATTTTGGAGATTAATTCTTTGTCCGTTGATTCATTTGCAAATATTTTCTCCCATTCTGAGGGTTATCTTTTTGTCTTGTTTATGGTTTCCTTTGCTGTGCAGAAGCTTGGAAATTTCATTAGGTCCCATTTGTTTATTTTTGTTTTATTTCCATCATTCTAGGAGGTGGATGAAAAAAGATCTTGCTGTGATTTATGTCAAAGAGTGTTTCTTCCTATGTTTTCCTCTAAGAGATTTATACTGTCCAGTCTTAGATTTAGGTCTCGAATCCATTTTGAGTTTATTTTTCTGTATGGTGTTAGGGAGTGTTCTAATTTCATTCCTTTACATGTAGCTGTCCAGTTTGCCCAGCACCACTTACTGAAGACTGTCTTTTCTCCATTGTATATCTTTGCCTCCTTTGTCATGGATTAGTTGACCATAGGTGCATGGGTTTACCTCTGGGCTTTCTGTCTTGTTCCGTTGATCTATGTTTCTGTTTTTGTGCCAGTACCATATTGTCTTGATTACTGTAGCTTTGTAGTATAGTCTGAAGTCAGGGTGTCTGATTCCTCCAGCTCCGTTTTTTCCCCTCAAGATTGCTTTGGCTATTCGGTGTCTATTGTGTCTTCATACAAATTTTAAGACGATTTGTCCTAGTTCTGTAAAAAATGCCATTGGTAATTTGATAGGGATTGCATTGAATCTGTAAATTGCTTTGGGTAGTGTAGTCATTTTCACAATATTGATTCTGCCAATCCAAGAACATGGTATATCTCTCCATCTGTTGGTATCATCTTTAATTTCTTTCATCAGTCTTATAGTTTTCTGTATACAGGTCCTTTGTCTCCCTAGGTAGGTTTATCCCTAGGTATTTTATTCTTTTTGTTGCAGTGGTAAATGGGAGTGTTCCTATAATTTCTCTTTCAGATTTTTCATCATTAGTGTATAGGAATGCAAGAGATTTCTGTGCATTAATTTTGTATCCTGCAACTTTACCAAATTCATTGATTAGCTCTAGTAGTTTTCTGGTGGCATCTTTAGGATTCTCTGTGTATAGTATCATGTCATCTGCAAACAGTGACAGTTTACTTTTTCTTTTCCAGTTTGTATTTTATTTCTTTTTCTTCTGTGATTGCCATAGCTAGGACTTCCAAAACTATGTTGAATAATAGTGGTGAGAGTGGTCATGCTTGTCTCATTCCTGATCTTAGAGGAAATGCTTTCAGTTTTTCACCATTGAGAATGTTTGCTGTGGGTTTGTCGTATATGACCTTTATTATGTTGAGGTAGTTTCCCTCTATGCCCACTTTCTGGAGAGTTTTTATCATAAATTGGTGTTGAATTTTGTCAGAAGCTTTTTCTGCATCTGTTGAGATGATCATATGTTTTTATTCTTCAGCTTGTTAATATGGTATATCACATTGATTGATTTGTGTATACTGAAGAATCCTTGCATCCTTGGGATAAATCCCACTTGATCATGGTGTATGATCCTTTTAATGTCTTGTGGATTCTGTTGCTAGTATTTTGTTGAGGATTTTTGCATCTATATTCATCAGTGATATTGGTCTGTTATTTTCTTTTTTTGTAGTATCTTTGTCTGGTTTTGGTGTCAGGGTGATGGTGGCCTCATAGAATGAGTTTGGGAGTGTTCCTTCCTCTGCAATTTTTTGGAAGAGTTTGAGAAGGATGGGTGTTAGCTCTTCTCTAAATGTTTGATAGAATTCACCTGTGAAGCCATCTGGTCCTAGACTTTTGTTTCTTGGAAGATTTTTAATTACAGTTTCAATTTCATTACTTGTGATTAGTCTGTTCATATTTTCTCTTTCTTCCTGGTTCAGTCTTGGAAGGTTATACCTTTCTAAGAATTTGTCCATTTCTTCCAGGTTGTCCATTTTACTGGCATAGAGTTGCTTGTAGTAGTCTCTTAGGATGCTTTGTATTTCTGCGGTGTCTGTTGTAACTTCTTTTTCATTTCTAATTTTATTGTTTTGAGTCCTCTACCTCTTTTTCTTGATGAGTCTGGTTAATGGTTTATCAATTTTGTTTATCTTCTCAAAGAACCAGCTTTTAGTTTTATTGATCTTTGCTATTGTTTTCTTTGTTTCTATTTCATTTACTTCTGCTCTGCTCTTTATGATTTCTTTCCTTCCGCTAATTTTGGATTTTGTTTGTTCTTCTTTCTCTGGTTCCTTTAGGTGTAAGGTTAGATTGTTTGCTTGAGATTTTTGTTTCTTGGTAGGCTTGTATAGCTATAAACTTCCCTCTTAGAACTGCTTTTGCTGCATCCCATAGGTTTTGGATCGTCGTGTTTTCACTGTCATTTGTGTCTAGGTATTTTTTGATTTCCTCCTTGATTTCTTCAGTGATCTCTTGGTTATTTAGCAACGTATTGTTTAGCCTCTGTGTGTTTGTGTTTTTTACGTTTTTTTCCCTGTAATTCATTTCTAATCTCATAGTGTTGTGGTCAGAAAAGATGCTTTATATGATTTCAGTGTTCTTAAATTTACTGAGGCTTGATTTGTGACCCAAGATGTGATCTGTCCTGGAGAATGTTCTGTGCGCACTTGAGAAGAAAGTGTAATCTGCTGTTTTTGGATGGAATGTCCTATAAATATCAGTTAAATCTATCTGGTCTATTGTGTCATTTAAAGCTTGTGTTTCCTTATTAATTTGCTGTTTGGATGATCTGTCCATTGGTATAAGTGAGGTGTTAAAAGTCCCCCACTATTATTGTGTTACTGTCGATTTCCTCTTTCATAGCTGTTAGCAGTTGCCTTATGTATTGAGCTGCTCCTATGTTGGGTGCATATATATTTATAATTGTTATATTTTTCTTGGATTGATCCCTTGATCATTATGTAGTGTCCTTCCTTGCCTCTTGTAATATTCTTTATTTTAAAGTCTATTTTTTCTGATATGAGTTAGCTACTCCAGCTTTCTTTTGATTTCCATTTGCATGGAATCTTTTTCCATCCCCTCACTTTCAGTCTGTATGTATCCCTAGGTCTGAAGTGGGTCTCTTCTAGACAGCATATATATGGGTCTTGTTTTTGTATCCATTCAGCAAGCCTGTGTCTTTTGGTTGGAGCATTTAATCCATTCACTTTTAAGGTAATTATCGATATGTATGTTCCTATGACCATTTTCTTAATTGTTTTGGGTTTGTTTTTGTAGGTCCTTTTCTTCTCTTGTGTTTCCCACTAAACACAAGAGAAGAGAGAAGTTCCTTTAGCAGTTGTTGTAGAGCTGGTTTGGTGGTGCTGAATTCTCTTAGCTTTTGCTTGTCTGTAAAGCTTTTGATTTCTCCATGGAAGCTGAATGAGATCCTTGCTGGGTAGAGTAATCTTGGTTGTGGGTTCTTCCCTATCATCACTTTAAGTATATCATGCCACTCCCTCTGGCTTGTAGAGTTTCTACTGAGAAATCAGCTGTTAACCTTATGGGGAGTTCCCTTGTATTTTATTTGTTGTTTTTCCCTTGCTGCTTTCAGTAATTTTTCTTTGTCTTTAATTTTTGCCAGTTTGATTACTATGTGTTTTGATGTGTGTCTCCTTGGGTTTATCCTGTATCTGAATTTCTGTGCTTCCTGGACTTGGGTGGCTATTTCCTTTCCCATGTTAGGAAAGTTTTCGACTATAATCTCTTCAGATATTTTCTCGGGTCCTTTCTCTCTCTCTCTCCTCCTTCTGGGACCTCTATAATGCAAATGTTGTTGCATTTAATATTGTCCCAGACGTCTCTTAGGCTGTCTTCATTTCTTTTCATTCTTTATTCTTTAGTCTGTTCCACAGCAGTGAATTCCACCATTCTGTCTTCCGGGTCACTTATCCATTCTTCTGCCTCAGTTATTCTGCTATTGATTCCTTCTAGTGTAGTTTGCATTTCAGTTATTGTATTGTTCATTTCTGTTTGTTTGTTCTTTAATTCTTCTAGGTCTTTGTTAAACATTTCTTGCATCTTCTCGATCTTTGCCTCCATTCTTTTTCTGAGGTCCTGGATCATCTTCCCTATCATTATTCTGAATTCTTTTTCTGGAAGGTTGCCTATCTCCACTTCATTTAGTTGTTTTTCTGGGGTTTTATCTTGTTCCTTCATCTGGTACATAGCCCTCTGCCTTTTCATCTTGTCTGTCTTTCTGTGAATGTGGTTTTTGTTCCACAGACTGCAGGATTGTAGTTCTTCCTTCTGCTGTCTGCCCTCTGGTCGGATGAGGCTAAGAGGCTTGATGGGAGGGACTGTTGGTGGGTAGAGCTGACTGTTGCTCTCGTGGGCAGAGCTTAGTAAAACTTTAATCCACTTGACTGTTGATGGGTGGGGCTGGGTTCACTCCCTGTTGGTTGTTTGGCCTGAGGCAACCCAATACTGAAGCCTACCTGGGCTCTTTGGTGGGGCTAATGACAGACTCTGGGAGGGCTCACGCCAAGGAGTACTTCCCAGAACTTCTGCTGCCATTTGTCCTTGTCCCCACGGTGAGCCACAGCCACCCCCTGCCTCTGCAGGAGACCCTCCAACACTAGCAGGTAGGTCTGGTTCGGTCTCCCCTGGGGGCACTGCTCCTTCCCCTGGGTCCTGATGCGCACACTCCTTTGTGTATGCCCTCCAAGAGTGGAGTCTCTGTTTCCCCCAGTCCTTTCGAAGTCCTGCAATCAATTCCCACTAGGCTTCAAAGTCTGATTCTCTAGGAATTCCTCCTCCCGTTGCTGGACCCCCAGGTTGGGAATCCTGACATGGGGCTCAGAACGTTCGCTCCAGTGGGTTGACTTCTGTGGTATAAGTGTTCGCCAGTCTGTGAGTCACCCACCCAACAGTTATGGGATTTGATTTTACTGTGATTGCGCCCCTCCTACTGTCTCATTGTGGCTTCTTCTTTGTCTTTGGTTGTGGGGTATCTTTTTTGGTGAATTCCAGTGTCTTCCTGTCGATGATTGTCCAGCAGCAGCTAGTTGTGATTCTGATGTTCTCACAAGAGGGAGTGAGAGCACGTCCTTCTACTCCGCCATCTTGGTTCCTCCCGATGCTTGAGTTTTAGTGACAGGATTCTGCACAGTTGTCCCAGGAAGTCTGTGTTAATTGGGAACCATTTTGCCTTTAGGACTTTGGGTTTGAACAAAGCCAAATTTGCTGCAAAATAAAGGCATGTTTTTAGTTCCAGTGGGTCCTTCGTATTTTCATTGGTTGGTTGGCAGAAATCTTAGGGATTCCTCAGGGCTTCTCATTCTGAGAGAGGTGCCTCTGCATGTGGAAGAATGATGAGCAGGGTAGATGGGGATGCCAGGTAGCCCCTTTTGTTTCATTATTGATGGATTACTTTAGTCCTGAGATGTTTGCTATCAGGACAGTGTTCTTGGTTTAAGTTTGCTTATGGATATGTGATTTTTTCCCCCATTATTTAGTCGCAAATTTGCCCTTTTTGACGAGCAGCATCGAGAAGAGATGCGAAAAGAACGGCGGAGGATTCAAGAGCAACTGAGGCGGCTTAAGCGAAACCAGGAAAAGGAGAAGCTTAAGGGTCCTCCTGAGAAGAAGCCCAAAAAAATGAAGGAGCGTCCTGACCTAAAAGTAAGTGTGTGGTGTGATCATAACTAAGAAAGCATACCTTTTCCCTTAGCTTTTGGCATCCTCCCTTACTGGGAATGAGGGCAGTATTGTGGAAAACTAGTTTGAATTGATGTGGCCACTTGGGTGTTATTAATACCATTGTGACTGGTACTGACAACACCAGACTTGATCTGGTATCTTTGGGTGTCATTTATACTTCATCCATTGGAAATATTTTCTGTGAGTTGAGATAGGCGTGGTGGATTTTTTTTTAACGTGTACATGTATGTACATATATGAACACATCTTGTTTTTAAATTGCATGTATTAAAAGAAGCAACAGAAAAAATCATACAGTACAGGTTGCTTAGCATAATTTAGGTGGGATTCCAGATATTACTGTGCAGTGTAACTGCAACGTGCATCACAAAATGAGGCAACTGTGGTACAGTGGAAAGAGCCATGGACTCGGAAACAGAAGATCTGGGTTCAGGTTCTTGTTCTGCCATTTAGTAGCTCTGTGACCGTAACCTCTCCAAAGCTGTTTTCTCTTCTATAAAATGATAACCTATCTCACTTTGGTGTTGTGTTAAAGTATATAATGCATGGGAAGCACTTTATAAATTGTAAAATTCTCAACAAATGGGAACTGCTATTAACACGTACTGAGGTCATTAAGTATTTTAATGTTTCTTTCTTCCATGTGATATAAGTATTGTATGATACAATATTGATCCATTTTACAGATGAAACTGAGGGCAGTTGCAAAAGTAAGATGGAGACTTGGGCTTTTTTGGGGGGGGGGTTGCCACACTGCACGGCTTGTGGGATCTTAGTTCCCTGACCAGGGGTTGAACCCAGGCCCTCTGCAATGAGAGCACAGAGTCCTAACCACTGGACCACCAGGGAATTCCCGGAGACTTGGTATCATTGAGCCTTTTCCTTGAGGCTGGGAATACACCCATGCTGGCTGCCTGTGAGGCTGAATGCAGCCTTGGGCTTCCAGTAGCCCTTCTTATGCATATTTAATATTTTTGTAGTTTACAACTTAAATTGGGGGTAGAAATCCTCTCCCTTTTCTCCCTCACTTGGTTTTTAAAGTAATGTTCAGTCTCTGGATTTCATTTTGTTTTTAATGTGTCATTTCCATACATGCACTTTTGTCTAGTGCCTTCTGGTTGAAAGGCGTATAAGGATTCTGTTAGAATAAAAGTTCTGGGCCTGCCTTTGTTTCTTTTCTGCCTTCTGTATATTTCTTAAAGCTAACACGAAGCCTGCTTACCTCTGACATGTTAATACTTTTCCTTTCGCAGCTGAAATGTGGGGCTTGTGGTGCCATTGGGCACATGAGAACAAACAAATTCTGCCCCCTTTATTATCAAACAAATGCTCCACCTTCCAACCCTGTTGCCATGACAGAGGAGCAGGAGGAAGAGTTGGAAAAGACAGTCATTCATAATGATAATGAAGAACTTATCAAGGTTGAAGGGACCAAGATTGTCTTAGGGAAACAGCTAATTGAGAGGTAAGAGGTAGCAGGTGGGAGAGATCTGTTGGAGGTTGGTGGTATTGATGGGTGGCAGGGGTGGATGTGATGTGTTCTCTGAAGTGGAACTGAGGACATAGGAACTTTGATGGATTTTCCTCCCTAATTGTTGCCAGTAATGAAAATTAGTCTTGTGAAGCACTCATTAAGCTCCACCACTTGCCATTGGGCATGCTACCTAACTTTTCTGAGTCTTAGTTTCCTTATTTAGAAAATAAAATCACCCTTAAAACGGTAGCTGTGAAGGTAAAATGAGGGAAACTGTATAAAAAATGTAGTTTAGTGCCTGGCATATAGTAGATGCTCTTCTTATTCTACTTCCAGGCACTTGTAATATTTGTAAGGTCCCTGATCTCAGATGTTCTGATAATGGACCATCCAAAAAGATTAAGGAGACAAACTATGCTTATACTTATCTGTCTCTTGCCCTCAGAGAATTTGATAATCAAGTAGAAAAGTTTTTAAATAAAAAAATTCTCCCCTAAATTTTTAGTTTGAAAATTGCAAACCTACAGAAAAGCTGAAGGAATAATAAAGTTTGTTGTTCCTCTTAATTCACCAGCTGTTAACATTTGTCACATTTGTTTCATCTTTATATATCTAATACATTTTCTGCTGAAACATTTGGAGGTTTTAGGCATCATGGCATTTCACTCAGATTCTTTAGTGCACGTAAAGAATAAAGATGTGGCAAACATGATATTATTACTACACGTAAGAAAATTAACATTAATTCAATAGGATCTAATATTCAGTCCTTATTCAAATTTCCCCAGTTGTCTCAATGTCCTTTATTGCCTGCCCCTCACCCCCCTTCAGGATCCAATTCCAGTTCAAACATTAAGTATTTTGAGTCTCTCTTAATCTAGAACTGTCCTCTCCACCTTTTTGGTTTTCATGACTTTGAATGTTTTGAAGAGTCCAGGCCAGTGGTCTCAAAATATTCCACATTCTGGATTTGTCTGTTTTCGCATTGATTATATTCAGAGTAAATGCCTTTTGCAAGATTACAACATAGGTGGTATTATGTACCTTCTGCACCACATCAGGAAGCAGATAACGTCAGGTTTTCTCAGTATTTTGATTATCTTATTAAAGTGTTAATCCTCAGATTCCTCTATAATAAAGGTATGTTTTTTCCATTGTAATTAATATGTGGGTGAATATCCTGGGTTTTTAAAAAAAATTTTTTTTTGACTGTGTTGTGTCTCCATTGCTGCACGTGGGCTTTCTCTAGTTGTGGCAAGTGGGGGCTACTGTTCATTGCAGTGCGTGGGCTTCTTGTTGCAGTGGCTTCTCTTATTGCGGAGCACAGGCTCTAGGCATGCAGGCTTCAGTAGTTGCAGCATGCGGGCTCAGTAGTTGTGGCACATGGGCTCTAGGGGGCGTGGGCTTCAAAAGTTGTGGCCTGCAGGCTCAGTAGTAGTTGTGGCTCGTGGGCTTAGTTGCTCTGCAGCATGTGGGATCTTCCCGGACCAGGGATCAAACCCGTGTCCCCTGCAATAACTCTTTTTTTTTTTTTTTTTTTTTTTTCCAGTAGCTTGAAACAACATACACTTATTATCTCACAGTTTCTATGGGTCAGGAGTCTGGGCACAGCTCAGCTAGGTCCTCTGCTCAGAGGCTGCCTACAGGGTGTCACAAGGGACTGCGGTCTATCCTGCTAACAATCTTTCTCTCAATAGTTTTAACATCCATTGATGATCATTACCTGATAACTCGGTTATTACATTGGGGGTTGCTTAATGGTGGTTTTTCTAATTCTTTTCATTCTTTCTACGTTAACTGGCATTCTGTAAAGAGCTTCCCCCTCCCTTTTTTGTTTGGGTATTACTATAGATTCTGAAATGCTTTCTTTTGGAAACTTTAATATATTAAAGTCTGTTAACATCATTATTAATTTTGATGGCCAGATTGTCCCAAATTTGATCCCTTCAAGCCTGACCTGTGTCCTTTTGAAATGACCCTATAAATTTTGAAAACTTCTTTGCTTTTTGGCACGAGATGTTCCAGGCTATCCTTGAAATTTCCCTGTCCCAGACACAGAATCAGCCATTTCTCAGGGATTCCTGGTTCCTTTTATTGGAGAATGGTATTTAGAAAACAATATCTAGGTGTTAGGTATGCTCATTGCCACTGAGATGTCATTGCTTCTAGGCTCTTAGTAGACAGAACTAGGAAATACATATATTGTAAATCACAACTTCATATCAATACCTCCAATTCAAATTGTATCTACAGCTTCTTCCTCATCTTCCTCCGTTTCATATTTGTATCCTTTCTTTGGTTCCCAACATCTTGCTCTGTCCTATGATATTTACAAAATAGTTTGAGAATTACAATACCAATACTACTACCAACAACAAATCTGTACAGTAGGTTCAAGGTGTTTTCTGTAATTAGTTGTCCTTGGATTATATGCCACTGAAGTTGTACAGTCAGGGTATTCTATTCAAAATATATTTGAATTCTTTTTTGAGTATATAATTTTTAATTAATTTGATATGCAGTTATATTCATTTGTTTCTGTTTCTGTTTAGATTTGAGGGTTGTTTTCCATCCTCGTTAATTTATCAATATCTATAGTAGTCATGTTTTGAAGCACATTAGAAAAGGAAAATGTAGTATCTTGATCCCGTATGATGGAAAGGAAAAAGGTGGGTGGGCTTTTAATGATTGAGGGAGACTCAAATTAGTTTTTCTTTTCAAACCTGCTTTAATTTCTTCCTTGTTTCTATTCTGAGTAAGTTAAATTTCCTAGCCCTTTAACCCAAAGATAGAATGTTGGAGCTGGGAGGATTCTTGACATTCCTTTAGCCTAGTTCCCTTATCTTCCAAATAGGAAACTGAGGTGAAGTTGTGGCTTGCCTAGTTTTTTATTAATTTGGAGATCCTATGAGGCCTTGCCTGATCTAAGCCTTAGAATGTGGATGTCTGGCCTTTGGTTTGGCTTTTTCCTCCCCAGGCTCATGCTCAGGTACTTTGGACTTTTTCATTGTAGTTGCTTTTTTTCTGGGGACTAGAAATAGGGACTGCACACTATGAAAGTGTTATTGATTGCAGTGCCGATGAGGTTCGCAGGAAATCTCTGGTTCTCAAGTTCCCTAAGCAGCAACTTCCTCCCAAGAAGAAACGGCGAGTTGGAACCACTGTTCACTGTGACTATTTAAATGTGAGTATTGGCATTGCTGCTTTCTGACCACATAGGGTTCTCATTAATTCCTCCAGCCCTCTAAGCCATGGCCCTGATATAGCCTTAGATTCTCCCTTTGGCCTTGCCCTGAGAATTACGTGTACTGTGCATTACAGGGTTTCCAAAATATATATGTATTGCGTTTATTTTTTTTTTAATCTAAAGAAGCATTCTGATTTCTTTTTTTTCCTTAGAGACCTCATAAGTCCATTCACCGGCGCCGGACAGACCCCATGGTGACGTTGTCATCCATTTTGGAGTCTATCATCAATGACATGAGAGATCTTCCGAATGTGAGTTCATTTCATTCAGATCTACAGTATGGATGGCAAGGCTGTTCTGTGTGATTTCAGATAGATGGCAGTAGAGTATAGTCCTAGGAACCTGGAACTCCTAATTCTTTGGGATATAGTTTTTCATTTATTTTTTAACAGTTTAGTAGAGGAAACAGACCTGCTCCATCTAGAGATTCCTTTGAGAGTTGACGGCCAGGTAGAGGTAAGATGTGAGAGAGTCTTGAAGAATTGGTCTGGCAGTTGTTCTTTGCTCATGGATGGTGCTGGCTCTTGTTTGCACAGACGTACCCTTTCCACACTCCAGTCAATGCAAAGGTTGTAAAGGACTACTACAAAATTATCACCCGACCAATGGACTTACAAACGCTCCGTGAAAATGTGCGTAAACGCCTCTACCCATCTCGGGAAGAGTTCAGAGAGCATTTGGAGCTAATTGTGAAAAATAGTGCAACCTACAATGGTAAGAATCACCTGTTCTTTGACTGCAAAGGTCACCTTTCGGATCCTTATTTATCCCTTACTAGTCCTAAATTTAGACTAGATTGGACTGACTGAAAGGACCTACAATGTATTAGTGCATTTTGGGGTTATGAAAATCAGGTAATGTACATTTTAATCATTTAATAAGTATTGCTTCTTTTTATTCCCACTTTTTTATGTATCATCTAGAGAATTTAGAGAATCTGTTGAAATGAAACAATTGCATGAGAAGCAGTGAGAGATAGGAGTGAGCCTATAAGTAAATAGAAGGGAGAGGCATTCAGTGTGGATGGAACCCCTGCAGAGTATATGCTTGTTGACTATATTTGTCTTTGATTTGGTCTACAAATCTGTTATGGGGCTGTTATATATGTCTATTTTGCTCAAAAGCTGGAAAGGCAAGGAGGAAGAAATCTGTTTTCTGAGTCTTAAAGAGTTCAAGAAACAGTATAGCTTCTGCATTTAGGGGATAAAGTTTTCTGGTTTCCAGTTGTATCCTTAGTGTAGGGATTAAGGTTACAGACAGAGTATGAACTATGGCTCTGCCACTTACTAATTGAGTTACCTTAGACAACTTTTTTTTTTTTTTTTTTTTTTTTTTGCGCGCGGTAGGCAGGCCTCTCACTGCCGCAGCCCCTCCCGTTGCGGAGCGCAGGCTCAGCAGCCACAGCTCACAGGCCCAGCCGCTCTGCGGCACGCGGGGTCCTCCCAGACTGGGGCACGAACCTGTGTCCCCTGCATCGGCAGGTGGACTGTCAACAACTGCGCCACCAGAGAAGCCCCTAGACAACTTATTTAACCTCTCATAGCCTCTTCAGTTTTCTTACCTGTACACATGGGATGATAGTAGTACCTAGATTTTAATACGTTTCACAAGCAGGCCTGACCCATTTATCTAGTCTCATTTATAGAGACTGGCTCCCAGACCTACTATAGATAGAGACTTTGGCTATGCTCAGTGTTGTATTTAACTAAATATCCTATACCATGTCTTCATGTCTTTGTACAGTCTTTGCCCTTTGTCTGCAGAGTGCCCTTTATTCCATTTCCCTTCATATTTCCAGACCAACTCATATCATCTCTTCATAAAGACTTATTCAGATTGCCCAAAGTACCCATTTTTTCAATCCTCTGTGCCCCCCTAACACAATTAAATCAAGTTTTATAGCTCTTATGTGTTATATATAATTGTTTATATATCTGATTTTCCCATCACTTTGTGACCTCCTAGAGAGACTATTCATCTTTGTATTCCGAGGGCGTAGCAGAGTACCAGACATACAAAGGAATAATAAATTTATTAGTCCCAACTGTCATTCAAGGTGACGAGGATAAATGCATAAGCAAAAATCAGCTTGGAAGGGAATGGGAAGGTAAGAGTTGACTTTGAAAATACAGAGTTTGAGGTACTTGTGGGTCATTTAGGTGGCAGTGTTCGTAAAAATTTGGAAATTTAAGTTATGACTTTCTCCACATCCCCCTCTAACTCAATCTTCCTTCTTCCTCATACTCAAATGCTGATAATAGTGATAATAGTAGTAGTGCCACCATTGCTAGTATTGCTGTCCGTCTAGTTGTACAACCTAGAAATGTTGGCCATTGTTATTCCACTCTCCCTGCCCTATACTCATAGATCACTAAGTTGCATAAATTGTACCGTCTAAGTTTTGCTGGAATACATCCCTTTCCTTTTGGTCTCCATTGCTACTATCTTAGTTGCAGCCCTTGTCTCTTGTTTGACCTCTTGCAATAGCTTCCAGACTTTCTCTGTGCTGCTTGCCTTATTAATTCTTCACACTGTTGACAGGGTATTTTTTTCTGATACACAAATTTGACAAATTACTCTCTAGCTTAAAATCTCCAGTGCCTTTGTATCTCCTATGAGACCATTGTAATATGTCCCTTCTTGCCTTTCCAAGTTCCATTTCCTATTTCTCCTCCACACATACCTACCTGTATTCCAGTTGTACCAAACTACTTGTGATTCCTGTTGTGAAATGTATTGTTTCATGTTTCCATGAATTTGCTTACTTAACATGTTTTTGCATACTTTTTCCTCCCTCTGGAATGTTTTTCAACCCTAATGTCTACCTGATAGACTTCTCTTGTTTAATAACACTGCTTGATTGTCATTCACAACAAGCCTTCCCTACTCCTCCCTGGTACTCAGATTTAATTGTTGTAAAACAACTTAAAACACGTTGCAACCCCTCCACAGTTCATAGTAATCAGTGTATTCCTCTATTTGCACTTACACTCACTTTTTAAAAACTTTATTATGGAAATTGTTAGGCATATACAGAAGTAGAGAGAAAGTAAATAAACTTCAGTGCACCTATTCACCCAGTTCCACAATCACCAGCATATATGGCCAGTCTTGTTCATTGTTTAGCCTGTATTTCCAGACGTCATATCATTTCATCTGTAGATACTTCAAGCACTTACACCCTGTCGTGCAGTGTTTTATTTTCATATCATTTTCTTTGACTCTCTAAGGTAGGGACTGTGTCTTATTTTCCCTTTATTCTCAACATTGAACACATCACAGACAGTCCATTAAACAGTTGTTGAATGAATAAACAAATCCCTGTTAATTAATTAATAAGTAGCTGAGAAAAGAGCTGAGTTTTAGGCTCTGGGGAGCACTTACACGAAAGAATTGACAGAGGAAGATCAGAAAATATACTGAAAGGAATTAGCCAGAATTACTGTTTTTTTACATGAAAATGTTTTCACTATCCCTATGATGAGCTTAAATTAGGGTAGCCATAAGCAGGGAATGTAGGAGATAGTTGGAGGATTCTGTGAAGCTCTTGTTACGGATTTCAGGGAAACTAAAGTAATAGTCTGAGGTGGGGTGGAGAGGAGATTCTTTTCTGACAAAGGCTTTGGATTAGCCGTATGTTGGGTGGACATCACAAACCATGAGTTCTGCAAACAAAAATTGCAGTCACAAATTTTGTATGCTGAGTCTGGAAAGATTATAAATCATTCATGGGTCTCTTTAGCCATCCTTAAACAAATTGTCATTCCCCATCCATAGTTTTATTTTCAAGGTATTAAAGGCAGCAGTATCGACAGTAGTACCGCTATGTATGGATATACACAAATAAGGGAGAGAGTTAAAATTAGTTTATTCATCCATATTGTGCATCTGCTATGTGTTAGACACTGAAAAATGGAGATAAGACTGATACATCTGTCTAACCCAGCAGCTAGGCTGGTGCCTGGCACATATTAGGTGATTAAGTAAATGAGTTAAAAGTCTGGAGAGGTGTTGGTAGCTCTTGCCTCCCTTTTTTTTTTTTTTTTTTTTTTTTTTTTTTTGCGGTACGCGGGCCTCTCACTGTTGTGGCCTCTCCCGTTGCGGATGCGCAGGCTCGGCGGCCACGGCTCACGGGCTTAGCCGCTTTGCGGCATGTGGGATCTTCCTGGACTGGGGCACGAACCCATGTCACCTGCATCAGCAGGCGGACTCTCAACCACTGCGCCACCAGGGAAGCCCTTGCCTTCCATTTTTAGTGGTCCCATCTCTTTTATTGTTCCTCTGTAATCTAGGGCCGAAGCACTCATTGACCCAGATCTCTCAATCCATGCTGGATCTCTGTGATGAAAAACTTAAAGAGGTAAGACATTTAAAATGAGAGAAAAGCAATAGAATGAAGCTGGCAGGTACCAGTATTGAGGAAGTAGGGAATGTAACAGAAGGAAGAGTAGAGAAATGAGGGAGTAGCAGGTTTTTTGTATGTTAGAGTCTAGAGGGGACCTTAGAAATCATGTAGTCTAATCCCTCCCTTTTGTAGATGGAAAGACTGAGGTCCACAGAAGAAACTAATTTGTCTTGGGCATCATGGCTATTAAATAGTAGGGCTACGATTAAAATATAAAATCCATATAACTCTTAGGAAATTGACTTCCCAGGAAGTCAGCTGAAGCTAAGAGACTGTTTTGGCAGGGAGAAGTTTTAATTTTTAAAAGATAATCTATCTGTATTTCATCTTCTTAACAACAAAAAAAATGGCACCTTAATAGGCTTAAAAAATATAAGTATAATGGATGTTAATATTGTAGTAGAAATTTCATAAAAGAGGATAACCAAATGGCCAGTAAACATGAAAAGATTCTCAACTTGATTGATCATTGGGGAGATAAAAATTTAAACCATCATTAGTTAACACTGCATACCTCCCTTAGAAAGACTAAAATTTAAAGACTTAAAAAAACAAAAGACTGAGTTTTAGTGGATGAGGATATGGAGCAGTTGACACACAAACTTTTTCCTAGTACAGCCTAAAATTAAGTTGTTGGGTTAGATTCCCTTACACAAAAGCCACTACTCAACAATACGTGTTGTGTTTTCAGCAATAGTTTTATGGCAAAAGCAGTCTAATATTAAAACTTAATTTGGTGAAGATGTTTTTGTTGTGGGAGCTAAGCTATTGATGCCCAGGGATGTATATTTTTGATGATCTACAAGAATAGAAGATAGAATATCTAAAGGAATTGGTCAGTACATCTCTTTTGATCCTTTTACTGGAATATTATTTCTCTTATCTGGACTTTTTGTCTGGAACTGAATAGGCCACAATTCAAAGTTAGACTTTTTGGGACAAGGGCAATAGACAACTGAACCTTAAATTATCCTTAATACTCTATGGTGATTATACCTCAGGGAAACCTCTGCCTTTCCTTTGCTTTGTTTCATGTCAGAAAGAAGACAAATTGGCTCGTTTAGAGAAAGCTATCAACCCCTTGCTGGATGATGATGACCAAGTGGCATTTTCTTTTATTCTGGACAACATTGTCACCCAGAAAATGATGGCAGTTCCAGATGTAAGTGTCTGTGTGTTAAATATTGTGAAGATAGTACAGGGGAGAGGAAAGGGTGAAAGGATGTGTGCATGTGTATGTTGGGGAGTCTGGAGTGTGGTGTTTGTCAATTCAAACTGCTATATAATTTTAAAAAGAAACTATTTTGCTGTATGAGTGCATTATCATTGAAATCAAAGAGGCCAGGAATCTGTGATATAGAGAGGTTCTTTATACCTGTTGTTGACATTCAGTATTTTAATGCTCCTGAATAGCCCTGGAGAGAAGTTAGGATGCCAGCTAATGGGAGGTTTTGGATTTAGAGGTGCTTCTTAACAAATGAGAGTTTGATAATTACCCAGCATTCATTGTCTTTTTTTGTTTTCTTTTCTTTATTTATTTTTGGCTGCGTTGGGTCTTTGCTGCTGCATGTGGGCTTTCTCTAGTTGCAGTGAGCAGGGGCTACTCTTCGTTGCAGTGTGCAGGCTTCTCATTGCGGTGGTTTCTCTTGTGGAGCACAGGCTCTAGGCATGTGGGCCTCAGTAGTTGCGGCACACGGGCTCAGTAGTTGTGGCACGCAGGCCCTAGAGTGCAGGCTCAGTACTTGTGGCTCACAGGCTTAGTTGCTCCGAGGCATGTGGGATCTTCCCAGACTAGGGCTCGAACCCATGTCCCCTGCATTGGCAGGCGGATTCTTAACCACTGTGCCACCAGGGAAGTCCCGCGTTTGTTGTTTTTTGTTTCATTTTTTGTCTTGCAACTTTATGGCAGGGGTACCATGTTGGTTCTTTGTATCGATACTCCCTAGGGAATTCTGAACTGAGTTTCCTTTTGTGTTGTAGGCATATGTTGTGTATGCAGTAACGCTATAAACCAGTGGTCCCCAATCTTTTTGGCACCAGGGACTGGTTTTGTGGAAGACAATTTTTCCATGGATGGTGGGTGGGGGATGGTTTCAGGATGATTCAAGCGCATTACATTTATTGTGCATTTTATTTCTATTATTACATTGTAATGTATAATGAAATAATTACACAACTCATCGTGATATAGAATCAGTGGGAGGCCTGAACTTGTTTTCACTTGCCACTCACTGATAGGGTTTTGATATGCATCTGCAAGCAATTGATTTATTATGGTCTCTGTGCAGTCAAACCTCTCTGCTAATTATCATTAATTATCATCTGCTAATCTGTATTTGCAGACACTCCCCAGCGCTAGCATTATCACCTCAGCTCCACCTCAGATCATCAGGCATTAGATTCTCATAAGGAGCATGCAACCTAGATTCCTCACATGCGCCAGTTCCCAGTAGGGTTCACACTCCTGTGAGAATCTAATGCCACTGCTGATCTGACAGGAGTTGAGCTCAGGCGGTAATGCGAGCGATGGGGAACGGCTGTAAATACAGATGAAGCTTCACTCGCTCGCTCGCCTGCCTGCCACTCACCTCTTGCTGTGCGGCCCGGTTCCTAACAGGCCACGGGCTGGTACCGGTCCATGGCCCAGGGGTTGGGAACCCCTGCTATAAACCTTCTGCATGGGACAAGGGAATGAGAGATTTTAATTGTGAATATAGAGCAGGGGTCCTTACCCTACCAGGGCACATGAACCCATAAAGGAATCCCCTTAAATTATATGCAGAGTTTTGTATGATTATGTGTCTTTCTGGGAAAAGGATCCATAGCTTTTGTCGGAGTCTTAAGAATATTTGTGACCCAGTGAAGTTTGAGAATCTCTGGTATGGTATAAAAAATGGTTTCCATTTAATTTCTCATGTTTTCTTTTTGCTAGTCTTGGCCATTTCATCACCCAGTTAATAAGAAGTTTGTTCCAGATTATTACAAAGTGATTGTCAGTCCAATGGATTTAGAGACCATACGTAAGGTGAGTGATTTGGTCTAAAATGTCTTGTGGGAATCAAGTAACTTTGTGTATCTGAGTCCCTGATTCTTTTAATCACAGAATATCTCCAAGCACAAGTATCAGAGTCGGGAGAGCTTTCTAGACGATGTCAACCTTATTCTGGCCAACAGTGTTAAATACAATGGTGGGTATTTCTCCTTTTTTTCTCTTTCCGTCAATATATCCATCCAACATTAGTTAGCATTATTAAAATTTAAGTGCATAAAGCAGCCTTGAGCCATGATAGCAGAATCAGTCATGTGACTTACTCTGCATTTTTTTAAAAACAGGCACGTACTTTAGTGTGTTCTGTAAAGTTTGCTAATAACGTTTAATGATGAAAAAACAATGTATATTTATTTTCTAAACTTTGGAAAGCACCGAAAAATGAGATGAGAATAAAAATCAAATGGATATTACTTTGGGCCATCACTGCTTTCCATGAGATGTAAAAACTCACCTAGGCCCCAGGCCCTTAGATGGGGCTTAGGGAAATGTGTTAAATATAGACCATGGTGTGCTTCCTCAGAGCATGGAGTTTTTGCTCAATATATGAAATGATTGCATAATGTATCTCAGGTGCTGTGCTAGCTACTTAATCTACTAGTGGGAAAGACATCATTGTCCTCAGGTCAGTGAAGAGAAACAGTTAAAATGCAGCTTGGCAAGGGCTATATTAGAAGGATGTACAAAGTGCTCTAGAGGAGAGGAAGGAACACCTTCACCTAAGGGTTAGGGAAGGCTTCATAAACAAGTTAATACAGTTAAGTTTTGAATGGCTCACTTAAGTAAACATCAGTTGAGCACCTAATATGTGCTGGCACTGATAGATGTTACAAATATAAAGTCAAATTAGATATGTTCTCTGCCTCCAAATTGGTTATAGTTTAGTTGGGAAAACAGAAAAGAAAAATTACAGAACTTAAGTATTATGCTAGATGCATTCACAGAGTGCCAAAGGAAAATAGGAACAGGATATCTAAGTCAGAGTGGGATTAGAGGAAGCTTTCTGGAAGAGAGTTTTCTTAAGCTGAGTTCTAAAGGATCAATGGAGTTTGCTAACCAAAAAATGAGGAGAAAGCATTCTAGGCAGGGAGAACAGCAATATGTGAAGGCACAGAGATCTGAAATTACATCTTGGGTTTAAGAAACAAGTTACTGGGGTTGCAGTTAAGTGTACATGTTGATGGATGACTGGTTATATATAGAGAAGTAGACAGGTGTCAGATCATAAGAGGGCCTAGTGTATGCCATATGTTATACTTAAGAGCTTTTGCATTATCCTAAATGGAAAAACGTTGAAAGAATTAGGCAGCAAAATGACAATCCCAAATAACTCCTGAAGCAAAACAGAAGAGGGAGCTAAGGGCATTTGAGAGAATTGCCTAGCATACTGAGGTCTCAGCTAAAAATCCACCTGACTGTATGACTTTTCTCCACAATATTCAGGAACCCAAGTAGTGTGGCTGTTAAGTTTGCCAGATAGAAGGGACAGAGAATTAGAGAGAGGAGGTGATGGAGGGGACAACCAGAACGACAGATGAGGAAATGGGTATTCTGGGTTTAGAGAATAGAATATCATGGAGGAATGAAAGAACAGGGTAAGTTCAAGGAACTGTACTTGACTAGAACCTATATATTTCATTAAGAGAAGTGGTAGGAGGGCTTCCCTGGTGGCGCAGTGGTTGAGAATCCGCCTGCCAATGCAGGGGACACGGGTTCAATCCCTGGTCCGGGAAGATCCCCCATGCCGTGGAGCAACTAAGCCCGTGTGCCACAACTACTGAGCTTGTGCTCTAGAGCCCGTGAGCCACAACTACTGAAGCCCACACGCCTAGAGCCCGTGCTCCACAGCAAGAGAAGCCACTGCAATGAGAAGCCCACACACCACAACGAAGAGTAGCCCCCACTCGCTGCACCTAGAGAAAAGCCCGTGCGCAGCAGCGAAGACCCAACACAGCCAAAAATAAATAAATAAAATAAATTTTAAAAAAGAGAGAAGTTGTAGGAGATGAGCCTTCCATTTTTGTTCCGTCTGGGTTGCATTAAAAGAATCTGCATTGTCCCTTGTGCCCTTCTTATTGCTGATTGGAAAGTGGAAATGACCTCTGTCAGGTCATTTATTTCTCCATTATTGTCTCCTGAAAACACCTAAAGCTAATCAGCCAAAATTCTGGTAATAGAAGTTGGCAGGCTCACAGGTGTCTAAAAATGAGTATAACAAGTAATAAGCAAGCAAGAGTGTTACAGAGAGGATGCTTGGCCTGGTAATGGCTGCCTGAAGATAGAGGGCAGATTTATGAGGAGCTTACGTAAGACAACAAGAAAAACCCAGAAGATGCTAATTGAAATGAGAAGAGGGCAGATGGACAAATCACAGAAGACAAAAGTTAAATACCAAATGAAAATGAATATTCAGTTGTACCTAGTAATCAAAGAAATGCAAATTGAAACAGACCATTTTTTTGCCTATTAGATGAGCTCAATTTCTTTTTTTTTTTCCAATTTCTTTTTTAATGAAAGTATTCAAAATGCTAGTGAGACAGGTACTCTCACATATGCTGTTGGCAGTGTAACATTGTTAGACAATTTTTAGAAAGCTCTTTGACAGCATTGAGACTTAAAAATTGTTAAGTGAACAGACTTTATAGTCAGGTAGACTTGAATTTGAATATTGGCCCTACCACTTCATAGCACTGTGACTTTGGACAAGTAACTTAGACTCTGCTTTTTTTTCTGTAAAATGGGGAAAATAATAATACCCTCCTCAGAGGGCTATCGTGAGGATTAAATAAAATAATGCATGTAAGTGCTTAGCATGTGTTAGGATAATCTATCCTAATCAGAGATACAGACAAAGCTGTTCATGATAATGTCATGTATATTAATTAGAAATAACCTGAATGGTTAATGTAAAGGGAATGACTAGTTATTGTGCCACCTGTATGATGGATTACTGTGTAAAGATTGAAAGCTTATTTTAAAAACTAATGGCAGTGCTCACTTCGGCAGCACATATACTAAAATTGGAGTGATACAGTGAAGATTAGCATGGCCTGTGCACAAGGATGACATGCAAATTCATGAAGCGTTCCATATTTTTTGTTATAAAACAAAGTAACACACCATTGTAAAGCAGTTATACTCCAATAAAGGTGTTAAAAAAAAACAAGCTAATGACAAAAGTGCTTACAATGTTAAGTGAGAAAAGCAGAACATAACTTTATGTCATCTCAGTTATGCTTTTAAGAAAAGATACATAGAAAAAAGACGTGCTGATGATAAGTGATTATTTCTGAGATATAAGGTTATGATTGTCTTCATTTTCATCTTTTGTATGTTTTCCAAGTTTTCTACTGGTATGGAAGGCAGGAAACTCTTTCATGGGGAGGTGATTTTTGAGCTAAATTTTGAAGGATGACGATTATTGTAGCTAATTCTTTAGTGAGCACCTGCTGTGCCAAGCAAAAATAGTCAAGTGGAGAAGGGTGGGGAAGAAGCTCCAGGTAGATAGTGCAAATGCTAAAAAGATAAGAGTGCCTTGGATAGGGCAGTGCAAATAATTGAGTTTGGCTAGGGTGCATAGTGGGAGCTAGTTTTGGTGTTAAGAGATTAGTTTTTAAAATTAGATGGGGCCAAGTCATGAAAGGCCTAGTATGCCTTTAAAAGGACATACCACCATAACAGGTATTTTAGTAAGATCGTTCTGGAAGCTATCTATAGATAGGAGGGGAAATGAAATATGGAGACCAGTAAAGAAACTATTGGCAACAGTCCAAGTTAAAAGTACTGAGAGCTTGAACTAAGTTAAGTAGCAATAAGAATGGAAAGATGGGGACGGATGGTAGAGATATTGAGGAAGTAGGATTGATACCTTCATAAATGGAAGTTGAGGGTATGGGTAAAGGACAGGGAGAATTCAAAATGATGCCAAGTACTCTTATGCTCTTGGTGAGAACATAAATCAGTACAAACTTTTTAGAGGACTGTAAATGTGTATTCCCTTTGACTAAGCAAGTTCATCTCAAAGGAATACTCCACACAGGTTTGCAAAGGCATACATACAAATGTACATATGTTTGTAATTGCAACATTGTTTGTAATTGCAAAGATATAGGAGGATTCTAAATATCCAACAATAGGAGATTAGTTAAATTACAGTACATCTATATGATCGAATACTGTTTAGCCATCAGAATGGTAGATTAGCCAACAAATAAAGCTGTACCTTACATATGCTGATATCAAAATATATCCAAGATACGTACTCTTGAAATCTAGATCACTCAACAGTATTTACAGAAGGAGTTGCAAATTCAGATCCTGTGGAGGCCCAACAGGTAACATAAATGAGTAAAACAGGCTCAGTAGGAATGGATGAACTGGAGAGCACATCACATCCCCCATCTAAAGGGCTCCATCACTATTTTGTTCAATTGTTGACATAGAGTAAAATTACTAAAGGGAGAGGTGGAGGATAATCTTCACTTTATACTTTTTTGTACTTAGGTGTTTGAATTTTTTTAATTGAGCATGAAATACTTTTGTAATTAAAAATAAAGAAATTTCCGTTTTTTGGAAGGATGGATAAGTCAGATGACATTCAGAATTCTGACTTGGGCAAACTGGTGGTGTCATTGACTAATACAGTTGTCCCTTGATATCTGCAGGGGATTGGTTCCATGACTCCCATGGATACCAAAATCTGCAGATGCTCAAGTCACTTATATAAAATGGCATAGTATTCGCATATAACCTACACACATCCTCCCATATACTTTAAATCATCTCTAGATTACCTACAATACCCAATACAATGTAAATGCTGTGTAAGTAGTTATAAATACAATGTAAATAGTTGCCAGTGTGCAGAAAAATCAAGTTTTGCTCTTCGGAACTTTCTGGAATTTTTTTTTGCAAATATTTTCGACCTACAGTTGGTTGATTTCCATGGTTGCAAAACCTGTGGATACAGAGGGCTGACTATAATAGGAAATATAGGAGGAGTGGTTTTGGAGAAAAGTGGTAGAGTTCAATTTGGGCTATATTGTATTAAGGTAGGACATCCAAGTGAAGACTTTCAGTAGGTAGTTAGCTATATAGAGGTCCAAAGCTCAGAAGAGAAGTCTGTACTATTTGTACATA